TTTTTTGTCGAGATTTTGTATCCTAATGGTCAATCAACATACCCCAAACTCCATACACTAAATTATTCTCAGATTTGAAGCCGAAATCTATGAAAAAAGGCACTCAGAAAAATTGAAAAATTGATAAATTACCTCAAATTGCTTAACACGATTTTATCTCAGGAACTATAAGTGCAAATGAGTTGAAATTTTCAGGCATTGTAGTCCTCTACTGAAATAAGAAACGCTGAAAATTTCAGCTTTCTATCTATGATAGAAAAAAAGTTATGACCTTTTAAAGTTTTCCAAAATCTAAATCATAAGGTAGGTACCTTCCCACTAAAACGAGGAAATTTCAAAATTTTTTTTTGTCGAGATTTTGTATCCTAATGGTCAATCAACATACCCCAAACTCCATACACTAAATTATTCTCAGATTTGAAGCCGAAATCTATGAAAAAAGGCACTCAGAAAAATTGAAAAATTGATAAATTACCTCAAATTGCTTAACACGATTTTATCTCAGGAACTATAAGTGCAAATGAGTTGAAATTTTCAGGCATTGTAGTCCTCTACTGAAATAAGAAACGCTGAAAATTTCAGCTTTCTATCTATGATAGAAAAAAAGTTATGACCTTTCAAAGTTTTCCAAAATCTAAATCATAAGGTAGGTACCTTCTTACTAAAACGATACAATTTCAAAATTTTTTTTTGTCGAGATTTTGTATCCTAATGGTCAATCAACATACCCCAAACTCCATACACTAAATTATTCTCAGATTTGAAGCCGAAATCTATGAAAAAAGGCACTCAGAAAAATTGAAAAATTGATAAATTACCTCAAATTGCTTAACACGATTTTATCTCAGGAACTATAAGTGCAAATGAGTTGAAATTTTCAGGCATTGTAGTCCTCTACTGAAATAAGAAACGCTGAAAATTTCAGCTTTCTATCTATGATAGAAAAAAAGTTATGACCTTTTAAAGTTTTCCAAAATCTAAATCATAAGGTAGGTACCTTCCCACTAAAACGATGAAATTTCAAAATTTTTTTTTGTCGAAATTTTGTATCCTAATGGTCAATCAACATACCCCAAACTCCATACACTAAATTATTCTCAGACTTGAAGCCGAAATCTATGAAAAAAGGCACTCAGAAAAATTGAAAAATTGATAAATTACCTCAAATTGCTTAACACGATTTTCTCAGGAACTATAAGTGCAAATGAGTTGAAATTTTCAGGCATTGTAGTCCTCTACTGAAATAAGAAACGCTGAAATTTTCAGCTTTCTATCTATGATAGAAAAAAAGTTATGACCTTTCAAAGTTTTCCAAAATCTAAATCATAAGGTAGGTACCTTCTTACTAAAACGATACAATTTCAAAATTTTTTTTTGTCGAGATTTTGTATCCTAATGGTCAATCAACATACCCCAAACTCCATACACTAAATTATTCTCAGATTTGAAGCCGAAATCAAGCAAATGAGTTGAAATTTTCAGGCATTGTAGTCCTCTACTGAAATAAGAAACGCTGAAAATTTCAGCTTTCTATCTATGATAGAAAAAAAGTTATGACCTTTTAAAGTTTTCCAAAATCTAAATCATAAGGTAGGTACCTTCCCACTAAAACGAGGAAATTTCAAAATTTTTTTTTGTCGAGATTTTGTATCCTAATGGTCAATCAACATACCCCAAACTCCATACACTAAATTATTCTCAGATTTGAAGCCGAAATCTATGAAAAAAGGCACTCAGAAAAATTGAAAAATTGATAAATTACCTCAAATTGCTTAACACGATTTTATCTCAGGAACTATAAGTGCAAATGAGTTGAAATTTTCAGGCATTGTAGTCCTCTACTGAAATAAGAAACGCTGAAAATTTCAGCTTTCTATCTATGATAGAAAAAAAGTTATGACCTTTTAAAGTTTTCCAAAATCTAAATCATAAGGTAGGTACCTTCCCACTAAAACGAGGAAATTTCAAAATTTTTTTTTGTCGAGATTTTGTATCCTAATGGTCAATCAACATACCCCAAACTCCATACACTAAATTATTCTCAGATTTGAAGCCGAAATCTATGAAAAAAGGCACTCAGAAAAATTGAAAAATTGATAAATTACCTCAAATTGCTTAACACGATTTTATCTCAGGAACTATAAGTGCAAATGAGTTGAAATTTTCAGGCATTGTAGTCCTCTACTGAAATAAGAAACGCTGAAAATTTCAGCTTTCTATCTATGATAGAAAAAAAGTTATGACCTTTTAAAGTTTTCCAAAATCTAAATCATAAGGTAGGTACCTTCCCACTAAAACGATGAAATTTCAAAATTTTTTTTTGTCGAAATTTTGTATCCTAATGGTCAATCAACATACCCCAAACTCCATACACTAAATTATTCTCAGACTTGAAGCCGAAATCTATGAAAAAAGGCACTCAGAAAAACTGAAAAATTGATAAATTACCTCAAATTGCTTAACACGATTTTATCTCAGGAACTATAAGCGCAAATGAGTTGAAATTTTCAGGCATTGTAGTCCTCTACTGAAATAAGAAACGCTGAAAATTTCAGCTTTCTATCTATGATAGAAAAAAAGTTATGACCTTTCAAAGTTTTCCAAAATCTAAATCATAAGGTAGGTACCTTCCCACTAAAACGAGGAAATTTCAAAATTTTTTTTTGTCGAGATTTTGTATCCTAATGGTCAATCAACATACCCCAAACTCCATACACTAAATTATTCTCAGATTTGAAGCCGAAATCTATGAAAAAAGGCACTCAGAAAAATTGAAAAATTGATAAATTACCTCAAATTGCTTAACACGATTTTATCTCAGGAACTATAAGTGCAAATGAGTTGAAATTTTCAGGCATTGTAGTCCTCTACTGAAATAAGAAACGCTGAAAATTTCAGCTTTCTATCTATGATAGAAAAAAAGTTATGACCTTTCAAAGTTTTCCAAAATCTAAATCATAAGGTAGGTACCTTCCCACTAAAACGAGGAAATTTCAAAATTTTTTTTTGTCGAGATTTTGTATCCTAATGGTCAATCAACATACCCCAAACTCCATACACTAAATTATTCTCAGATTTGAAGCCGAAATCTATGAAAAAAGGCACTCAGAAAAATTGAAAAATTGATAAATTACCTCAAATTGCTTAACACGATTTTATCTCAGGAACTATAAGTGCAAATGAGTTGAAATTTTCAGGCATTGTAGTCCTCTACTGAAATAAGAAACGCTGAAAATTTCAGCTTTCTATCTATGATAGAAAAAAAGTTATGACCTTTTAAAGTTTTCCAAAATCTAAATCATAAGGTAGGTACCTTCCCACTAAAACGATGAAATTTCAAAATTTTTTTTTGTCGAAATTTTGTATCCTAATGGTCAATCAACATACCCCAAACTCCATACACTAAATTATTCTCAGACTTGAAGCCGAAATCTATGAAAAAAGGCACTCAGAAAAACTGAAAAATTGATAAATTACCTCAAATTGCTTAACACGATTTTATCTCAGGAACTATAAGCGCAAATGAGTTGAAATTTTCAGGCATTGTAGTCCTCTACTGAAATAAGAAACGCTGAAAATTTCAGCTTTCTATCTATGATAGAAAAAAAGTTATGACCTTTCAAAGTTTTCCAAAATCTAAATCATAAGGTAGGTACCTTCCCACTAAAACGAGGAAATTTCAAAATTTTTTTTTGTCGAGATTTTGTATCCTAATGGTCAATCAACATACCCCAAACTCCATACACTAAATTATTCTCAGATTTGAAGCCGAAATCTATGAAAAAAGGCACTCAGAAAAATTGAAAAATTGATAAATTACCTCAAATTGCTTAACACGATTTTATCTCAGGAACTATAAGTGCAAATGAGTTGAAATTTTCAGGCATTGTAGTCCTCTACTGAAATAAGAAACGCTGAAAATTTCAGCTTTCTATCTATGATAGAAAAAAAGTTATGACCTTTCAAAGTTTTCCAAAATCTAAATCATAAGGTAGGTACCTTCCCACTAAAACGAGGAAATTTCAAAATTTTTTTTTGTCGAGATTTTGTATCCTAATGGTCAATCAACATACCCCAAACTCCATACACTAAATTATTCTCAGATTTGAAGCCGAAATCTATGAAAAAAGGCACTCAGAAAAATTGAAAAATTGATAAATTACCTCAAATTGCTTAACACGATTTTATCTCAGGAACTATAAGTGCAAATGAGTTGAAATTTTCAGGCATTGTAGTCCTCTACTGAAATAAGAAACGCTGAAAATTTCAGCTTTCTATCTATGATAGAAAAAAAGTTATGACCTTTCAAAGTTTTCCAAAATCTAAATCATAAGGTAGGTGGTACTTCCCACTAAAACGATGAAATTTGAATTTTTTTTTTGTCGAGATTTTGTGTCCTTATGGTCAATCAACATACCCCAAACTCCATATACTAAATTATTCTCAGATTTAAAGCCGAAATCTATGAAAAAAGGCACTCAGAAAAATTGAAAAATTGATAAATCACCCCCAATTGCTTAAGACGATTTTATCTCAGGAACTATAGGTGCAAATAAGCTGGAATTTTCAGGGATTGTAGTCCCTTTATTGAGGTAAATTTCAGTGAAAATTTCAGCTTTCTATCTATAATAAAAAAAAGTTATGTCCTTTCAAAGTTTTCCTTTTACTTACTAAAACGGAAAAATTTCAAATTTTTTTTTGTTGAGATTTTGTCAGGTATTTACCTGATTAGGTGAATCGATAATACACCTATGAAGATACTAAATTTTAATTTAAAAAATGATAGAGAAAACATAACAAGATTATACTTACCTCCCCAAAGCTTTGCAAAAAAAACCTCTCAAACATTTATATAACAAAGCAAAATTTCTCTTTCCTTCGCACTAAGTCTACAGTTCTCGGCACGAGCCCGCGTATCTCGGACTTTTTAACGCTCTGATTACAATAAACAATAATACGGGATCTCTCTAATGATTTAAAGTTGAATTTTTTTTGTCATTCGGCGACATTACCAAAAGTGCAATGTATCTACAAAGGTGGATGTTGTTTTTGTGGGCCCTCAGTTTAACCGATTGTATCATACCTGAAGAATCCGAAATAATTTTCGATTCATCTGGTAAGTAACTTTTATTATTTAATCGCAACAATTATTATGTTAAAAGAAAATCATTTTAATTAACCAAAGACAATGGGACGTGAATCCTTTCACCGTAAAACAATTTGTGTAAATAGAAATTTAAACACTTATTTTCAAGATGATTTCGATGCGCGTCAAAACGACAAATACTCGGAAGGCCTCAACAACCTCTATCAAGAAGACAGAGAGAATTGGAGAAGGTGCACAGACAAAATGGAAAGAGCTCTGGAAACAATACGAAGAAGACAATTGGCCAAAGAAAAAATGTTACACCTAAACGGATTTTCTTTGCATCAGCCTTTAAGAAGTGCCCCATTTGATATGTATGTGACTGACATGAGGGTGAGATTACCACCTTCAAAAACATGGGTAAGAATTTGGAGCTTAAATTTGTTAAGACTAATAATACTTATCCCATAATAGGTTAAAGTGGATAAATGCAATTTCAACCCTATTAATCACAGTCTAGAAACAAGGCTACGTTTTAATGATTTAACCATAAGCGGCAGAGTCAATCTTTTCAATGACGGCGAATTGAGACGCGACCCTTTGAGCCCTAATCCTGAGGAAAGTTGCAACATGATTTTGAGACTGCGAAAGGCCGGAATCGGGTAAGGAATTTCTCCTTATAGGAATGTGTTTGTCTTGGAAACAGCTACTAGAGGAAGTGCGCATTTAACGCCTTACAAGATTTACAAATATTGACTATTGTTTTTTTTGGTTGTTTTGGGGTCACCCAGCCAATTGTGCCTTAATGAATTTCAACACACAGGATCTAATGAGCTCAATTTTACTTACATGAGATTACATTTTAATGATTTATATTGGGGGAAATATTACAGAATCATTGTTTGTCTGTTTTGTCATTGAAAATCTCCAAAGTACATATTATTTATTATTTATTCAGTCTTCAGTTTCTTCAAACTCAGAAGATTTTTGCAAGTCATTTAAGTTCCAGTTTTCAACATCTTTAGAATCTATAAAGTCTTCTAAGTCTAGTGCTTATTGACTTACTAAATCTATCTATCTAGTTTTGTCATATTTCATTTCTCAAGAACTTATGTATTCAATCTGTGATGTGTGAATTCAAATTTCATATGCAGAGTCACATGCCTCTAGATTAAAAAGTAAGAGTTTAAGTCACTGGTTTTCAGTTTCTGGAGCATCAAAACTCTTCCTTTTGCATTACAAATGCTACATTCAAATTTATTTATTTATTTATTAAATTTAATTAATTAAGATCATTATTTAGAGAACATATGTATACAGTGAGCACGTAAAGGTTGGAATAAAATCTATAAAATATACAAGGTTGATATTTTCAAAAAAAAACTCGGACACGTCAATTTTTGATTTTAGTGCCGTTTTTTTGATGATAATATCATGTATACAGGGTGACTCAAAAACAAGTTATGACAGCTAACTTTATTTTTTCAAATGAAAACACCAATTTTTTATTTCATTTTCAAATTCTCCGTTAAATTCTGAACCCATTTTGTGTATCATATCCTATACCTATCTTCAACTATTTCAGAAATATTGACAGTTGAAAATTGACTTTTTTGCAACTTTGACAGGCTGTAGAACCGATCATACATTCTTATTTTAGTTTTCCATAAACTATCATTTGACACCAACTTTGAATTTAATCCATGGTTAAAAATTCCGGCAAACCCCATACACAGTAGCGTGTCAATTTTTTTTGGGGCCCCCCCGCGAACTTTTTTTTGAGGCCCCCTATGTCACTATTATATTTTCCAAAAATAACTTATTATAGTAAATATTTATACACAATATCATTATCTAATAGTTAAAAAACACAGCGAATTTTTGAAACTAAATTAATTTCTATAAATTATTATATGTTATTATAGTAATATAGGAGGGATGATTGAAAAGTTCTGGAGAATATTGGGCCTGATTCGAGACTTGACTCAAAATCTGAATCTTCGTTTTCGAGAATATTTGCACCTTCAATGTCTGGTAGGATAGTTTCATCATCATACACTTCTGTTTTTGATGATGAGGTTGCGGATATTGACAACGTCTCAGAAGTTGATATAACCTTTTTTTGACAATCTTCTTCTTCTCCTCCTTTTTTTCAACTAGTTTTCTTTTTTGAGCCCCACTCAGATATTTGCGCGGACTACTCATTTTAATATTTTAAATATCAACTCAAAACTCAAACGTAACAAGTGAAACAACAAAGACTCGCTAATAACCGGAAATTCCCATTAAAACGGACGAACTCACGGTATGATGGACGGTTGCTGACAGACACTGACAGATCATACTAGATGACGTCACGACCAGTACCAGAGCGTTTTTTCCCGCTGGAAATAATTTGAATTTTTCCGCATTTTTAATTCCTCATTGTGACCGTTTGCGACAAAAAAAATTATTTTTTCGCTGATATAGATTTTAATTAATGTATTCTTATGATTTATAGTAATATTTTCATGTTTGAATTTTTTGTCAAGTTCCCTATTAACCACCAGTAGCTTTTTGTAGGTGATATCAACCACATAATCAATGGACATACGTTTTTTGCCACCAATATCACGTGCCTTCAAAATGGTATTTGTCGGACTTGATCTGTGTTAAGATGTCATTGGCGTTGATACATTACCAGGCTTTTCATTTGAAAAAACGTATGTTTGGTTCATAATTTCAAAACTATCACTTCTAGAGAAAAACTGACTACGCCACTGGAATCTACTTGGAAGAATCCATTAAAATATCTATAAGAACCTGTTGTCGCCTTTTCGATCACTTATTGAAGAACCGAGATACAAGGGGTGTTCCAAAATGGAACATTTTCAAAAACACCTTGTATATAAAAAACAAAAAGGACGATGCGATGATAATCCTTTTTTCAACATTATCCAACAGAACTTTAATAGGATTATACAGTACTTCAACAGGACTATACAATACTTCAAAGTACTTCAACAGGACTTTAATACAAGACTGGTGGCTCAGTTTGGCTCTCTGGATCTCTTTCCAAAACGATTTTATCACAGTATAGTGTTGGACCTAGAGGACTTCCACAAGACTTCTGCAGGACCTACAGGGTTTGTACAAGACTTGCGCAGCACCTTAAAAATATGTGGGTACTGTAGGACGGTGTACAAATCTAAGGACCCCTTGAATTTTGCTCAATAAATACCTTGTTATTAATAATAAATCTCTTTTAGTGGAATTAGTAGAAACAATAATGATTAGGTATAAAATAATGTTCAGAAAACACAATTTACTACAATGAACATTCAATTAAACTTTTAGAGTTCCAATAATTATTGTACCATTTGAAGAAAAGTATTAAAAGAGAAATAGGGACAATCCCACACAGAATCCTGGAAAACCCAATATAAGCCTGTAGAACCAATAAGAATTCTAAACAGAAACACTAATTCAAAATACAGAAATAATAAAATCCTTATGAATACTAATTTTAGCAACTTTTGCATTATTTCCAGCTCTTGATTTACTGGTCAATATTTCCAGAGGTAATGAATCAATCAACTTTTGATTATTAATGTATCTTTAATAATTTACTCTTTCTGGATAGTTTTGGCAACAAAAATTTGACTATTAAGGCACTTGGTTACTTCTGAGAAAGATTTCCAGCTAATCAAAACCCTGTAATAAACAAACATTTGATTATTACAGGCCCTTGACTACTTCTACTAAAGTTTTGCAGCCAATCAAAAGCCGGTAATAATCAAAATTTGGTACTATCAGCGGCTATTGATCAACTCTAGAGAGATCATCCTGGGACTTAAGATCCACTGAGAATCATAGTTTGAACTACTGATCGACGTTGATTTGCTCTAGACAAATTATAAGATCAGATATTCGGACTATTACAGGCATTTGATTGTTTCTAGAAAAGATTTCCAGCCAATTAAAAGCCTGTAATAAACAAAAATCTGACTATTACAGGCACATGATTACTTCTAGAAATGTTTTGCAGCCAATCAAAAGTCGGTAATAATCAAAATTTGAACTATCAGCAGCTTTTGAATAACTTATAGGAGCAAGAATCAAAATTTAGATTATTATAGGCTCTTGATTGCTTCTAGAAAATATTTCCAGCGAATCAAAAGCCTGTAATTAACTAAAATTTGACTTCTACAGGCACTTGATTACTCTTAGTAAAGCTTTGCAGTTAATCAAAAGCCTCCAATAGCAACATCATAAGGGTAACCTTATGTACAATTAAAATGAAACAGCCTGTACAGGGTTATCATTATGTTTGTAAAAGTTTTAATATTTCATAAATGAGCGTCCCAACATTACCAAAATCACTAAATTTCAAACCTCCATTTGACTTGGTTTTTGAAATATGGCAACACAGCTTTTTTGCTGAAATGTATGGAAACAGTTCCGTATTCCAGAACAGGTTTTAGAAAAATGTGATAATGCGTTTAATTCGAGGCACCCGAGATGACGTCATAAAGTTATCAGGCAATCTACCTTGCTCAAACAATCTTGGGGGGCTGGTATATAGGCCCAGATAGGAAATACTGTACATTTTTTTAAAGCCTGTTCTGAAACAAATATTAAGTAACATACGACATCTGAAAAACGCTAAATTTGGCAACATTATAAATATGTACCACCATTGAATCGGGCATTGCCAAAAACCCCAAACTAGCAATATTGTACATTTTTCTTATGAGCGTTCTGAAATATTAGACCGTTTCCATACATAACGACAACCCAGTATAAATGCAATAGGGAGTTTGGAACATTTGACAGATTTTTAAAGAAATGAGCTGTTGTCAAGATTTTGTATCCTAATGGTCAATCAACATACCCCAAACTCCATACGCTAAATTATTCTCAGAATTGAAGCCGAAATTTATGAAAAAAGGCACTCAGAAAAATTGAAAAATTTATGTCACCCCAAATTGCTTAACACGATTTTATCTCAGGAACTATAAGTGCAAATGAGCTGAAATTTTCAGGGATTGTAGTCCTTTGATTAGGATAAAATTCAGTGAAAGTTTCAGCTTTCTATCTATAATAGAAATAAAGTTATGACCTTTCAAAGTTTTCCAAAATCTAAATCATAAGGTTTCAGCTGTCTATCTATAGATATAAAGTTTCTACAGGCAATGCTAAATCATTTCATGTTTTTCAGCCTTCTAACATTCTCAGTGGACCCAAATAACTAATGAATTTTTGGTTGATATTTTCATGACTACTTGGAATCTGCAATTTGCCAAGTGTTCTTCTTCTTGTCGCATTTTTGAGTAACATTGAGCTGGGACAGGGCAGAACCATAAACCTCTCTCCATATTACAATTCCATAATATTATCTAATTAATGACTTCACCAGTGCTTTATAGATCATAGTTAAAAGTTGTTTTAACATTATTTCACCCAAAATATAGAATTTCTAAATAAGTTTCCTAAGATTGTTTTTCAATCTAAAAACCATGGTGTTCCCATTTAAGATGACAATAATTATACCTAAATATTTCGTATTAGAAACCTCATATGAAATGATGGACCCCCAATATCGAGCATTATCATAGAGTTAATACAAGTAACAAACAGCAAGGGACCAAGTACAGTTTCTTGTGGGACAGCAACCATCATGGTTCCAAGAGGATCACCGTGAGCATTTCTTATTTTTAAAATTTGTCTTCTGCCTTTCAAATATGATACAAAGATTTCCAATGCCCTATCCCTAACACCACACTTCTCAAGTGTGTTCAATAATATAGCATGGGACACAGTATCAAAGGCCTTAGCCAGGTCCAAGAATACAGCAATGCTCTTCTCTACACCATCTAGCTATGCAGTCATTTGTTTTACCAATTTATACATAAACAGCCAAGAATTTCATCAATCTTTCCTTGAGACATTTTTCAAATATTTTTGCAAAGTTATTGATTACACTTATGGGTCTATAGTTACTGATATCGTTTGTATTGCCAGCCTTGTGGATGGGGGTCACAATTGCAATTTTAAATTCCGGTGGTCTCAAATATTAAATTCACAATACTTACTTCATTAGTAAATCCAACTATTCATTATATTTTGTCACTCACTTACATGATGTATTATTTTTAGATTCCACACTGAGCCAATCAGACGCGAAAGAGGCCAGTTCAACGTCAAAACCGACAGTCACTTTTTAGAACCCGGTTTCATTTCTGTGTACGCTTACGGATGTGAACCGGGCTTAAAAAGAAGAGATTACGCCGAAGACCCTGACGAGGAAGTCAGTAGGGAAATGGAGGATATATTTTTGAAGGGTAATCTATTATATTTTCCTTAATACAAAACATTTGATTGGTTGTTTTTTTAGGAATCAGGCAGTTGCTCACATCTTACATGCAAAAAGAGCTACAGCCGGCCATCAAAGAAACTCTGATGAAAAATATGGGGTACACCGTGTCCTATGGTTAATAAATTGTATATTGTGCTATTAATAAACACCAAAATACAATAACATAACGCATTTATAACAAATTCCACAAAAACCTGATAATTATACTTATAGTCACAAGTACTAGAGGCACCCAAAGCTAAAAACAAAAAAGATTTTTCAAGACAATTATTGCCAATAACACCTCCACCTAATATCAAAATCACTACTAACCTTATTGTCATTTTTCTCAAGTTTCAATCCAGAAACTGCCCCTTTTTCCAAAGGTTTAACCAATCCAGGCATCACGACTTCGTCCAAAGGCAGCCCCATCATGGAAAACTTAGAGGCACTGCTTATTTGTACTTTAACTAATTTGCCCATAAAATTGGGCCTCATTGGTACCAAAACTTGTTCATAAAACTGGTTATGACCAACATAGTATTTTTTATCGTGAGATACCTTCAAAAAAAATAATCAAATTAATAAAAACTTGAAATATTTATAAAAAAAACCAACCTCTGTTACTAAAACTTCCTGTATTTGTCCTACTTGATGCCCATAAGGCTCGTAGCTGTAAAACAACTCTGTCAACCTATGAAAAGTATACTGTTTAAAAAACTCTGTTACACAAACCAAAAAACAAACCTTTTTGTTCTTTTTTTAACCTGTTGCGAATCAAGTCTAGGCATTAAAGCAGCAGGAGTGCCTGGCCTTGGAAAAAACTGATTAATAAACAAACTAGGAAACTTGTACTTTGCACACAAAGTCATTGTATCTTCAAAGTTCTCTTCAGTTTCAGTAGGAAAGCCACAAATAATATCAGTAGCTATAGTCATTCCAGGCACTTTTTCTTGCAAAAACTCAACCACCCGCTCAAAATCCGCTCTGCAATATTCGCGTTTCATGTCGGCTAAAACCTGATCGCTGCCGCTTTGCACTGGCACGTGCAAAAACCCATAAACTCTAGGATGGTGCATGATTTTCGCAATTTCTTCCAAATGTTCCAGGATGTATGGGGGATTGGTCATGCCTAAACGTAAACGACAGCCTTCAGGAATCACTTCAACTAACATCCATAGAAGTTCTGGCAAGGATGAGCCTATATCTCTGCCATAAGTACCAGTGTCTTCTGATGTTAGCCATATTTCTACTACGCCTTCTTCAAAGGCTTGTTTAGCTCTGGCAACGATTTCTTCAGGCGGGTAGCTACCAAGATCGCCTCGGGCGTGTTTGGTTTTACAGTAGGTGCACTGGTTCAGGCAGCCAGTATTAATGGCAATGATTTCTGAAGTAGAATTATTAATATATAAGTTTTAGGATTAATTTTGGCTTACCAATTAGAGGATTCCTTCTTACTTTAGGTAAAAGTAGTGAGGCCCCGCCAGATTTTTTACCATTTTGTTTTTTCTGGCCTAACAATTTAACAGTGTTGCCTTTAAGAGTCTCTTCCACAACTGAAATTTGTTTAATAAAAAAATATGTACATTTATGTTTTAATGAATACCTTCTACAACCCTATCAATCTGTTGCACCCCTATAATGCTGTAACCTTGCACAAAGGAGGATTTTGGGGCACCTTGGGGCACGCACCCAGCAAGGACTACATATTTGCCTTGTTTTTTGGCTGATTCGATTTCGTTTCTAAAAAAAGACAAGTCTCATGTATTTGAAGCTCTTTGAACAAACTACAGTTGAATAAAGAACGAAGGCTTTCACGGCCGGTCAAATCTAGTAGAAAAGTTTTTTCCAGGCTATAATGCCGTGGTCCATTAGTATTTCTACCTAACGTTTCGTCTACTGCTGCGGTAGACATATTCAGAGGCGCCCCCGTCAACTTTTGTTTGGGGCCAACAACCCAAAATGCGCCCCGAAGGTGCCCAAGCGCAACGTCAGCAAGCCCCGCCCCAACAATCACTGGAGGCAATAATGAAGCAAATGTTGTCCCTTCAGCAACCAGCTGAACGCCGCATCATGAACCAGAGAAACCCAACACTGAATGGCTGAAAACCCATTAGCTCCAGTATTCCTCCGAATTGCAACTTGGAACTGCAATTCAGTCAAGTCCAAGAAACTAGAACTACAAAGGTTCCTAGAAGAACAGCAGATTGATGTCCTCCTACTACAAGAGCCCCTGCTGAAACCTCCATCCCGCTTCTCACTTCAGAATTACACCATCATCAGACAGGACAGGGACGGCAGAGGGGGTGGAACTTTCATTGCAATCAAGAAGAACATCCCTCACTACAAAGTAGAAAACCTCGCCGACGGACTTGAAGGCACATTATTTGCTTCAGTCCAACCACTACCTTACATTTCACCAACTAGACCAGTGGTTCTCAACCGTTTTTTAGTCACGACCCTTTTACAGATTTGATCATAAGGTCGCGACCCCCCTACCCCTCAATAAATAAAAAACAAAAAATCTCTATCAAAATATTAATATTACGTAACTAATTATAAAAAGTCAATTTTTATTTTGTTAATGTGATAACTGAGCTTGCATCTCCGTTTTGAAATTCTTGGGGTTCTTGAGTTTTTGTTAAAAAGAGGTGAAAAACACTTTCACGAAAGTAGGTAGAGGCCAGGGTTGCCAGACGTCCCGATTTAGGCGGGACAGTCCCGATTTTTAGAGATATTTCCGAACCGTGCCGATTCCCGAATTGAATGCCAAATGTCCCGATTTTTAAAAATGTAAGGAGATATATCTCGATTTCCGGCCACTCTTTTAGGCTGCGTTTCCTACCTATATTGTTTTTTTTCCTATCCGCTGTCTCGCTTTTTCAAAGTTAAAATCTGGCAACCCTGCATGTCAGGTGGTTTGGTATTAAAAAAAATATTACAGATTCTGTATTACCGGTCCAATGTGGTCAGGCCTTAAATATTGCAGAGTTCTGTTTGATCGGCTTCAATTTGAAATTGACGTAAATAACACTGATGACATTTCAAGTTCTACTCGATTGGCTTATTGTTCGAAAAAAAAAAGGTCATAGATAAAATGTTGTACGTTACCTCTACTTAATGCGGTTTCGAGTTTTTCATTACAAAGTTCTATATTACTGGCCCAATGTTATCATATCAGGCCGTTTGATATTAAAAAAAATATATTACAGAATTTTGTATTACCAGCTCAATGTTGTCAGGCCTTAAAGGTACGAAAATATTGCAGAGTTCTGTTTTATCGACTTTGAAATTGACGTAAATGACACTGATGACATTCCAAGGCCTACTCGATTGAGCTAGCGGTGTTGCCACATGATAAAAATCAATTTTTGGAAATCCCCATCTTTTGATTGGTTTATTAAATGAATGTGAAAACCAATCAAGAGCCAAGAATGATTAAAATTTGACTTTCAAAGCCAATCAAGAACTGGAAAGCGGCGTTGTCAAATGTTGAAAATAATTTTAAAAAATGAAAAAAACAACCCCAAATTAAGCAAAAATTCCCCAAAAATAATAAATTTCCCTTGAAAATCCTTGGAAAACTTGTTTTTAAATAAAAGTTTCTGTCACTTACCTCGATTGGAAAACATGGAAATTTCTAGCAAAAATCCACAGTCCCGCACTTAGGGCCGAATTTATAGTCAGCCCTTGAGGTTTCCTCAGACCTCAAGGAAGCCATGAAGGCTTAGAATTGACATGACTTATTTGTCAAATAGTAGCAAGTGTGCATTCTAAACTTATGATCTCCAAGGAAGAGTCAAGGAACGACTATAAATTCGGCCCTTGAAAATACTTTTTTCCATTTAAAAAATCCCGGAAAAGTGGAAAGTTCACGGAAAAACCGGAATAAAAACACTAAAAATGGCCGACTGTCAAATGACATTGTCAGGGCTTTGGAAATAACATTTCAAGGCCGACTTGATTGGAACCCGAGTGAAGTTGGCTACAAAGCAGTGTTGCCAACTAAAGAAAAATCGTATTTTAGTGAAAAAGCTGATTTTTAAAACTAGAAATTCCCTAAAAAGTTGTTTTTCAGTGATTTTTTTTTTGCGGACGGAACACGGAAATTTTTGACTGAAAATGAAGAAAACTTGAAGCCTCGTACTTGAAATCAATTTTCCGACCAAAAAAGCCCTGGAAAAGCGGAAAATCCGAAGAAAAACCTCTGAAAAGGACATACTTAATGAAACTTGAGTTTTTGTCATTTACCCCATTTGGAAAACTGGAAATTTTTGGCACAAAATGAAGGAAACTCTAAGCCTCGTACTCAAAACCAGTTTTCCTGATTGAAAACGACTTGAAAAAGCGGAAAATCGGAAGAGAAATGAGGATAAAAACACTGAAAATGGCCGACCATCAAAGCTAACAAATGACTTACTTACTTGATTGAAGTTAGCCACAAGCGGTGTTGCCACATTAAAACTTTCAGAAAAAGTATTTTAAATGGGATTTTGCTAAATATTGCATTTAACACTGAAAACTTTTGTTAGAAAATGAAGAAAACTCAAAGCCTCGTACTTAAAACCAGTTTTCCCGACCGAAAAAGCCTTGGAAGAGTGGAAAATTCAAACAAAAAAAAACTCTAAAAAGGACTCTCCAAAGTCTACTTGATGAAACTGAACTGTCACTTACCTCATTGAAAAAGTTGACATTTTTGAAACAAAATGACGGAAACTCAAAGCTTCGTAATTTAAACTAGTTTTTCCGACTAAAAATGGCCTGGAAAAGCGGAAAATGCGAGAAAAAATATGAATAAAAACACTTAAAATGGCCGACTGTCCAAACCAGAAAAACCATTTTAAATGGGATTTTGCTAATTATGGCATTTAAAACTGGAATTTTTTGTTGGAAAATGAAGAAAACCTAAAACCCCGTACTTTCACTAGTTTTCCCGACTGAAAACGCTTTGTAAAAGTGGAAAATCTGAGGAAAAACTTGTCAAATAAATAATTAATAACGATTATAAAACAATAAATTCCTTTGGAAACTTGTTTTCAATTGAATTTCAATGAAAATAACATATTACAAGGCCTACTTATCGAGTATAAATAAGTAAGACAAAGACAACAATAAAGTAGTATTCTATTGCAAAAACATCAAAAGCGATTATACATGAGTTAGACAAAGACAGAAACAATGTAGGACGTAATAATTCAATTGAAACCAAACACAAAGGAAATAATTTGATAAACTAGTAGTAGTACCCACTTAAATTGATAACAAAAGTACCACTAAATTAAATTCCTTATATATCACTCATATTTGAGTACCGTGTACTACTGGATTGTTGCCTACTGGTCGTTTTTTTAATTTCAATCCGATTTTGATGTAATTAGGCTCTAATCAGGGTTGCCAGACGTCCCAGTTTAGGCGGGTCAGTCCCGATTTTTAGAGATATTTCCGAACCGTGCCGATTCACGAATTGAATATCAAATGTCCCGATTTTTAAAAATGTAATGAAATATATCTCGATTTCCGGCCGACAACACCCTTTTAGGCTGCGTTTCCTACCTATATTGTTTTATTTTCCTATCCGCTGTCTCGCTTTTTCAAAGTTAAAATCTGGCCACCCTGGTAGAGGCAAATGATACCACACCCTACCAGGGAATTACACTCAGAGGTAGACACTTATCGCCTCACACAGGATCCGACATGGCAGGATCATCACAAACACTATGCATATCATGACCTGGGACTCCAGAACAATTTTCTAACATAAACATGGGAACATAAGGTAACTATACTTTTCCCACAAACAAAAATTTCATTTTAGCCAGGACAGAAAACGTCGGATTCAGTCATCTACCACACCGCATCTGAAGAAGTCTACCTCAGCAGTAGACGAAACGTTAGGTAAAAATACTAATGGACCACGGCATTATAGCCCGGAAAAAACTTTTTTTTACTAAACTACAGTTGTTTGAGAAGCTTAAACTTGGGATCCAAATTCCCAAGAAAAGTCTTACAAAACCATACCAATTTTAAATAATTGAGGCTCCTTGAACAAACTACAGTTTATTGAGAAGTTTAATTAGTGTAAAAAGCATTGAAAATTACCTGAAATGATCCTCGGCAGGATTTTTAACAGTACAACTATTCAAAAGCCACAAATCCGCCATCGATTTGTCATCGGTCAAATTGTAACCGTAGGCGCTCAGCTGACCGGCCATGTACTCAGAATCTGAACTGTTATGAGCACAACCCCAAGTTTTGACGTAAATATTTTGCACTCCTGGTATATTTTCGCCAACGGGGAGAGTAACTTCAGATTCGTCCTAAAAACAAAACAAAATTGCCTCAATACATCCACTGGCAAAATATTTTAGAGGAAAAATACAAACAAAATAATTCAAATAATTTATTGAACTAAATATCATCTCCATAAAACAAAGCATAATACCCTTGGGTACATTTCCTATTGGCCATTCTTTTTTGCACGAATTCGTTAGCAAAATACTTATTTGTTAGATCACTGTCCACTCTTTCCAAGCATGTAGAAGCCACTCCAGCGACACAAACAGGAAGATTCGGACTGTAGCATTCTGGATCCTCACTATTAGGTTTAATTGTGCCATCAATAAAAAACAGCCAAAAGTTAATGATGTTGTAGCACTGGCAAGTCCAAGGGTTGCCTTCCAGATAAATCCTATCAATTTTGACTTGCTTCAAAGTCTTCCTGGGCAAATAATTGAATTTGTTGGTGCTTATATCGAAAACTTCAATGGTAATAGGGTTGGGGAATATATTAGGGTCCAGTTTTGTCAAGCGGTTGTTGCTCAGGCCCAAATTGAACATAAACTTGACTCCTTTGAAAGCATCTCTGTGAATAATTGTGATTTCGTTGTCATCGAAATAAGCATTTTGAAGGATCTCCCAGCCAACAAATGCTTGAGGAGGTATAGTTCTCAACTTGTTTTTTACAAATTTAATTGTAACAATAGAACTTGTGTTGGTGAACCACTCTCTTTTAAAATACTCCATTTCATTGCCGTTGAGGTTCAAATGACGCAGCACAGGCATATTGGCAAAAGCTAGATCGTCAATATTATAGATTTTGTTACCTCTTAAATCTAATACTTCTAAGTGAGGCAACACATCGAAAATTCCTCTACGTATTTCGGTTAAAACCCCATAAGAAAACTCAAATTCGGTTATGTTTTGGACATTATAAAAAGCTCCAGCTTCAATTAAATCTATACGACAATGGATGCAATAAATTGCCACAAGCCAAGGCATGTTTCTTACTGAGTGTTTTTTCAAAATTGGAATCGTGGAACGGCTCAAAGCCAGCTCATTGCTTGTATAGGCGTCTTTGCCTTCGCCTCTAAGGCATTGGTCGGTGTATAAAGGGTCGTTTAAGACACCTTCAGTATCTTCTTGGCCCCTTATAACATTTTCTATATACTCGCACTGAACAGCATAAACTGATTTACACAAAATAAATAAACTAAAACTAATTGTAAACAATAATTGATACGCAACAGACATTGTTTTTAGCTTGGAAATTTTTGCAGAATGATTATAGCCGCGATGCAAAATGCAGATAAACCTGTTTTGTTGTTGTTTAGCTTGGGTCAAGAGATGATTGGTAATTTTCGCGTTCAACTTACATTTTTTTTTCTGGCTTTGACTTTTACACTTTTTCTGGTGCTGTAGCGTTCTTTGGGCGTCAAGTCTTGGGAAGATATCAAATCTTCGATGTCTTCTATGATTTCTTTGCAAGGAGCCTCCAGACTGGATCTAGGGACAAGTTATACATGAAAGAAATACATGCATTTATTTTATTTATCTACTACTTATTATAATAATGAATATAAATCAATTTTCCTGTTTTATAAATATCATATGAAAGCTTTTTACACAATATCTTAAATGTCTGTCTGTTATACAGTAGGTATTGATAGGTTATTGATTCGCTAGAATATTTTTCTGAGGGCGTTCAAGACCTTTAGAAAAGTTATCTGGCAAATATGGAGCAAATTTGGTCTATTAACGGTTTTTGATTGGCTGCAAGACTTCACTAGAAGTAATCAAGTGCCTGTAATAGTCAAATTTTGGGTTGCCAAAACTATCCAGAAAGAGTAAATTATTGAAAAGCAAAATTTGATTGATTCGTAGCCTCTGGAAACATTGTCCAGCAAATCAAGAGCTGGAAATACCTAATGTAAATTTTGATTCCAATAAGTTGCTGAAATTAGTATTTATGAGAATTTTAATTATTTCTGTCAAGGGGCTAACCACCTAGGAATTCTTTGCCGAAAATGTGGGGAATTTAGAGGAATTTGTGGGAAGTTTAGAGGAATTTGTGGGGAATTTGGAGGAACTCATCGGAATTTATAGGGAATTTGAAGGAATTTGTGAGGAATTTAAAGGAAATTGTAGGACATCACTGAGGTTCACATTCTTATTATAAGAAATAGTAATAATTGGAAATTTAAAAAATAATCTAGTTTTGTGTTGGACGTTGGATATTCATTTTTATCAAAGAAATCCTCCCAAAATTGTACTACATGATTTACAGGTCCAAATTTAAAAAATTCAAAAGAATAAGGAATACAGTTTTTGTAAGCTGATTTTCAAGATTTTTCATGTTGTTATTTTCCACTGAAAATAATTAAAATTTTGGGAAAATGAGCTTCTCAGCTTCCTCTTTACATGCAAAAAGTTTCAAAATTTTCCCTTCTCTAGTTTTCCAGGAAAACTTTGAAATATGTGAGACTGTATTTTCAACTAATTCAGTTATTGTAGGTTGATTTCCAAGATTTTTCATGTTGCTGTTTTCTACTGGAAATATTTGAAATTTTAGGAAAATGAGCCTCTCAGCTTCCTCTTTACATGCAAAAAGTTTCAGAATTTTCAATTCTCTAGTTTTCCAGGAAAACTTTGAAATATATGAGACTGTAATTTCAATTAATTCAGTTATTTTAGGTTGATTTCCAATATTCCTTCCTTATGTTGTTATTTTCCACTGGAAAAATTTGAAATTTTGGGAAAATGCGCTTTTTACCTTCCTATTTACATGCAAAAAGTTTCAACATTTTCCCTTTACTAGTTTTCCAGGAAATCTTTGAAATATGTGATACTATATTTTCAATTAATCCAGTTATTGTAGGTTGATTTCCCATATTCCTCATGTTGTAATTTTCTACTGGAAAAATTTGAAATATTGGGAAAATGAGCTTTTCAGCTTCCTCTTTACATGCAAAAAGTTTCAAAATTTTCCCATCACTAGTTTTCCAGAAAATCTTTGAAATATGTGATATTATATTTTCAATTAATCCAGTTATTGTAGGTTGATTTCCCATATTCCTCATGTTGTAATTTTCTACTGGAAAAATTTGAAATTTTGGGAAAACAAGCTTTTCACCTTCCTCTTTACCTGCAAAAAGTTTCAAAATTTTCCCTTCAGGAAAACTTTGAAATGTGTAAGACTGTATTTTCAATTAATTCAGTTATTGTAGGTTGATTTCTATTATTTCTAAGATTCCTCATGCTGTAATTTTTTAATGGAAAAATTTGAAATTTTGGGAAAATGATCTTCCCACCTTCCTCTTTACATGCAAAAAGTTTCAGAATTGTCCCGTTTTTTAGAGGAATTTGTCGGGTATTTGGAGAAGTTCGTGGTGGGCTATTTGGAGGAATTTGTGATGGGGTACCTATCTGAAAGAATTTGGAGGAATTTGCAGTAATTTTGAGGAATTATGCGTAAAAAATTCCCCTTTGAGGAATTGTTTGCACCAATACTGAAATGGTGATTTACCCCTTGATTTCTGTATTTGGAATAAGTGTTTCTGGTTAGAATTCTGTGGTTCTACTCGCTTTTATCGAGTTTTCCAGGATTCTGTGAAGTTTTTTTATTAATACATACTTTTTTTCAAATGGTGCAACAATTATTGGAAATGAGCAAGTTTAATTGAGTCTTTATTGTAGTAAATTGTGTGTTTTGAACTAGGGATGTAAAATGACAGTCATTTATTTTTTGTGATAAGTGACAGTCATTTTTTTGTCATTTTTGTCATTTTTTGTCATTTATGGTCATTTACTGTCTATGTAGAACATAACCTAACCTAAATCAATATATTTGATTGGTTGACTATAGTTCTTTTCCAGTTTCACAGTCTTCAACATCCAAGTCATCTAATGAGTTAGAAAGTACACTCCCATTTCCCTTACAAGATTGATAGTAAATATCGAGAGTCAGCTGATATTTTTGTGACACTGTCATATATTTCAATGACGGTCATATATTTCAATGATGGTCAGTTATCATTTTGACTGTCAGAAAATTTAATGCATAAAAAAATAAATGACAAGAGTGTCATAAAAATAAATGACGCGACCGTCATTTTCATTTTGACTGTGACATGACATGTCAGAAAAATTGGGTCACATCCCTATTCTGAACATTCTCCTATTATACCCACCTAATCATTATTGGGTTATCCAGACAGCAAAGCAGAAATTTTATTAATTTATCATTGACAAAATGACAGTCATTGAGCAAAATCAAAGGGGTCATCACTCATCAGATTTGTACACTGTTCTACAGTAGCCACATATTTTTGGGGTACTGCACAAGCCTTGTACAAGTCTTCTAGGTCCTGCAAAATCTTGTGAAAGTCTTGTACGAGGAGTTTTTCACCTAACAAAATGTGTACACCGATTAACAGTACTGAGTAACTGAGATATTTCCATGTATTAACAGATATTTCTATGTACCTAATAACAAGTTATTGCCAACTATTTCCATGTATCAAGAAAATATTTCCACATACTGCCAGGTATTTCCTTAGTATTATCACATATTACCAGGTATTGCCATGCTATTGACAGACTAAAATCAAATTTTTGTCTTGCCAGAATTCTAGGTATTGACATATCCACAATTATTTACATGTTATTAATGGTTATCAACCCACTATTGACATAGTATTTACCTGGTATTGACATTATAATACCCAGTGATTTGTACACCGATTAACAAGGTGAAAAACCCCTCGGTCTTGTAGGTCCTGCACGAGTCCTGTAGGACCTGCACAAGTCTTGTGAAAGTCTTGCAGGTCCCGCACAAGTCTTGTAAAAGTCCTGTAGCTCCTGCACAAAGCTTGTGAAAGTCCTTCAGGTTTTGCAAAAGACTTGTGAAAGTCCTGTAGGTCCAGCACTATACTATGGTAAAATCGATTTGGGTGATCCAGAGAGCCAAGCAGAAATATTATTGATTTATCATTGACAAAAAGACAGTTATTGAACAAAGTCAAAGGGGTCATCACTCATCAGATTTGTACACTGTTCTACAGTAGCCACAGGTACTGCACAAGCTTTATACAAGTCCTGTAGGTCCTGCAAAATCTTGTGAAAGTCTTTGTATGTCCTGCACAAGTCCTGTAGGACCTGCACAAGTCTTGTGAAAGTCTTGCAGGTGTCGCACAAGTCTTGTGAAAGTCCTGTAGCTCCTGCACAAAGTTTGTGAAAGTCCTTCAGATTCTGCAAAAGACTTGTGAAAGTCCTGCAGGTCCAGCACTATAGGTACCATGGTAAAATCGATTTGATTGATCCAGAAAGAGATTCAGAGAGCCAAGCAGAAATATTATTTTCCTTTGCATAACACCTGTAATAAAGTCCTGTTGAAGTACTTTACAGCATAGAATACTTAACAGTCCTGTTAAAGTACTATATAGAGTAGAAATACTGTGTACACCTACTGTGAAAATTACTAGAAAACCCATGGCAAAATCATTTTTCAAAGGTAAGATAAATTTGTTAAGGCCTACAGCTTATTATAAGTAAAATTACTATTTAAAAACATAAAGGGATAAATAAATCAAGCGTTAAGGACTATTTTACAACGAAAATAAGCTAAATTATCCAAAACTTACCCGGAATTTTGAACAAAATCCATATTATCTGAATCCACACACAACACAAATGAAAATAACTATAACCTCACTTTTTAACAGTCAGTTTGGAAGTGATAGGATTTTCAAATGACGTATACTATTTTTTGTCTCTTTCTAATAGTGTGAAATAGAGCGAGATAGATATACACCCTTTGGTTGATAATTCTTGAAAACCCCTTATTTTCTGACATTTAAAAAAAATTACTCCCACATATAATATATAATAACAAATTAATATAAATAATAAAAATTCCCGTTTCATGTATTAAATTAAATAATTAAAAAATACCCCTCGATGTAGGATTAATTATTGAATAAATTGTCCAAAATTCGTTAGTAAAATGACTTCGGAAAGTGAGGAATTTGTTGTGGAAGACTCCGACGAATCCTTATTGGATATCATAGAGGTTTGTGGCAAAATATAGTTTTCTGGATAATTTTAATCTTGTCTGGATGATTCAGGTTGTAGGAGCGTACAAAATAAATCAAAATCAAGCTTTTTTTCAGGGTTCTGGAGGCATTTTCTCAGGGTTTCTACTTGTTTTAGCTTACCTGAACAAGATTATCACTGTTAAGGGCCAAATTATAGACTGACTGATAAGTGTCAGGTTGTTACCTAGCAGGTACTTTCTATTCTCTAGAGCATGTTAAAGTACCTGCTAGATAATAACCTGACACTTATCAGTCGGTCCATAATTTGATCCTTTAAGATATTTTCCATAAGATTTATTGGTCTTTTCCACTTTCATAGTCTTTGACACAACTTTCAGCTAATTACAATCTTCTGGATTCTTCTCATGCTCTCTATCAATAATTCTCAAAAATGATAAACAATCCCCATTCAACAGACATTTTGGAGCATGAAAAAATGAGAAACTTTACACAACAAATTTCACAAAGAGTCATGTGAATGAAAAACTAGTAGATCTAATGGATATCTTTGAGAATCAGAGGTTTTTCTAAACGAGAAACGAAATTTCATTCTTTAAGAATAAGAAACTACATGATAAATCCAACCAGAAACTCTCCAAGACAGATCCTGCAGACCTTCTCATCAGTTTGTCCTCATCCACTCCTCAATAAAGGCCTCATCCATATTTTTCCATAGCTGTTCTCATCATCCAGTTTGTTTCAGCAATTTTTCTCAACAATGAGAAACAATTTACCAAGGGGTAAACCACCATCCCAGAATTGGTGCAAACAATTCCTCAAAGGGGAATTTTTTACACATAATTCCTCAAAATTCTTGCAAATTCCTCCAAATTCCTTGAGATACCCCATCACAAATTCTTCCAAATACTCCACCACGAACTTCTCCAAATACCCCACAAATTCCTCTAAAAAAAGGGAAAATTTCGAAACTTTTTGCATGTTAAGAGGAAGGTGAGAAGCTCATTTTCCCAAAATTTCAAATTTTTCCAGTGGAAAATAACAACATGAGGAATATTGAAAATCAACCTACAAATAACTGAATTAATTGAAAATACAGTCTCACGTATTTCAAAGTTTTCCTGGAAAACTAGTGACCTCATTTTCCCCGAATTTCAAATTTTTCCAGTAGAAAATTACAACATGAGGAATATTGAAAATCAACCTACAATAACTGAATTAATTGAAAATACAGTCTCATACATTCCAAAGTTTTCCTGGAAAACTACTGGAGGGAAAATTTTGAAACTTTTTGCATGTAAAAAGGAGGGTGAGAAGCTCAGTTTTCCAAAATTTTAAATTTTTCCAGTGGAAAACAGCAAAATAAAAAATCTTGGAAATTAACCTACAAAAACTGAATTAGTTGAAAATACAGTCTCACACATTTCAAAGTTTTCCTGGAAAACTAGTGAAGGGAGAAATTTGAAATTTTTTGCATGTAAAGAGAAAGGTTGGAACCTCATTTTCCCAGAATTTCAAATTTTTCCAGTAGAAAATAACAACATGAGGAATATTGAAAATCAACCTACAATAACTGAATTAATTGAAAATACAGTCTCATACATTCCAAAGTTTTCCTGGAAAACTACTGGAGGGAAAATTTTGAAACTTTTTGCATGTAAAAAGGAGGGTGAGAAGCTCAGTTTTCCAAAATTTTAAATTTTTCCAGTGGAAAACAGCAAAATAAAAAATCTTGGAAATTAACCTACAAAAACTGAATTAGTTGAAAATACAGTCTCACACATTTCAAAGTTTTCCTGGAAAACTAGTGAAGGGAGAAATTTGAAATTTTTTGCAAGTAAAGAGAAAGGTTAGAACCTCATTTTCCCAGAATTTCAAATTTTTCCAGTAGAAAATTACAACATGAGGAATATTGAAAATCAACCTACAATAACTGAATTAATTGAAAATACAGTCTCATACATTCCAAACTTTTCCTGGAAAACTACTGAAGGGAAAATTTTGAAGCTTTTTGCATGTAAAAAGGAAGGTGAGAAGCTCATTTTTCCAAAATTTCAAATTTTTCCAGTAGAAAATTTCAACATGAGGAATCTTGAAAATCAACCTACAATAACTGAATTAATTGGAAAAACAGTCTCACATATTTCAAAATTTTTCTAGAAAACTAGTGAAGGGAAAATTTTGAAACTTTTTGCATGTAAAGAAAAAGGTGAGAAGCTCATTTTCCCAAAATTTCAAATATATCCAGTGGAAAATAACAACATAAGGAATATTGGAACTAATGGAAATCAACCTACAATAACTGAATTAATTGGAAATACAGTCTTACATATTTTAAAATTTTTCTAGAAAACTAGTGAAGGGAAAATTTTGACATTTTTTGCATGTAAAGAGGAAAGTGAGAAGATCATTTTCCCAAAATTTCAAATTTTTCCAGTGGAAAACAGCAACATGAAAAATCTTGAAAATCAACCTACAAAAACTGAATTAGTTGAAAATATAGTCTCACACATTTCAAAGTTTTCCTGGAAAACTACTGAAGGGAAAATTTTGAAACTTTTTGTATGTAAAGAAAAAGGTGAGAAGCTCATTTTCCCAAAATTTCAAATATATCCAGTATCCAGTGGAAAATAACAACATAAGGAATATTGGAAATAATGGAAATCAACCTACAATAACTGAATTAATTGGAAATACAGTCTCACATATTTCAAAATTTTTCTAGAAAACTAGTGAAGGGAAAATTTTGAAACTTTTTGCATGTAAAGAAAAAGGTGAGAAGCTCATTTTCCCAAAATTTCAAATATATCCAGTGGAAAATAACAACATAAGGAATATTGGAAATAATGGAAATCAACCTACAATAACTGAATTAATTGGAAATACAGTCTTACATATTTTAAAATTTTTCTAGAAAACTAGTGAAGGGAAAATTTTGACATTTTTTGCATGTAAAGAGGAAAGTGAGAAGATCATTTTCCCAAAATTTCAAATTTTTCCAGTGGAAAACAGCAACATGAAAAATCTTGAAAATCAACCTACAAAAACTGAATTAGTTGAAAATATAGTCTCACACATTTCAAAGTTTTCCTGGAAAACTACTGAAGGGAAAATTTTGAAACTTTTTGTATGTAAAGAAAAAGGTGAGAAGCTCATTTTCCCAAAATTTCAAATATATCCAGTGGAAAATAACAACATAAGGAATATTGGAAATAATGGAAATCAACCTACAATAACTGAATTAATTGGAAATACAGTCTTACATATTTTAAAATTTTTCTAGAAAACTAGTGAAGGGAAAATTTTGACATTTTTTGCATGTAAAGAGGAAAGTGAGAAGATCATTTTCCCAAAATTTCAAATTTTTCCAGTGGAAAACAGCAACATGAAAAATCTTGAAAATCAACCTACAAAAACTGAATTAGTTGAAAATATAGTCTCACACATTTCAAAGTTTTCCTGGAAAACTACTGAAGGGAAAATTTTGAAACTTTTTGTATGTAAAGAAAAAGGTGAGAAGCTCATTTTCCCAAAATTTCAAATATATCCAGTGGAAAATAACAACATAAGGAATATTGGAAATAATGGAAATCAACCTACAATAACTGAATTAATTGGAAATACAGTCTTACATATTTTAAAATTTTTCTAGAAAACTAGTGAAGGGAAAATTTTGACATTTTTTGCATGTAAAGAGGAAAGTGAGAAGATCATTTTCCCAAAATTTCAAATTTTTCCAGTGGAAAACAGCAACATGAAAAATCTTGAAAATCAACCTACAAAAACTGAATTAGTTGAAAATATAGTCTCACACATTTCAAAGTTTTCCTGGAAAACTACTGAAGGGAAAATTTTGAAACTTTTTGTATGTAAAGAAAAAGGTGAGAAGCTCATTTTCCCAAAATTTCAAATATATCCAGTGGAAAATAACAACATAAGGAATATTGGAAATAATGGAAATCAACCTACAATAACTGAATTAATTGGAAATACAGTCTTACATATTTTAAAATTTTTCTAGAAAACTAGTGAAGGGAAAATTTTGACATTTTTTGCATGTAAAGAGGAAAGTGAGAAGATCATTTTCCCAAAATTTCAAATTTTTCCAGTGGAAAACAGCAACATGAAAAATCTTGAAAATCAACCTACAAAAACTGAATTAGTTGAAAATATAGTCTCACACCGAGTCTCACACATTTCAAAGTTTTCCTGGAAAACTACTGAAGGGAAAATTTTGACACTTTTTGTATGTAAAGAGGAAGGTAAGAAGCTCATTTTCTCAAAATTTCAAATCTTTTCAGTGGAAAATAACAACATGAAAACTCTTGGAAATCAACCTACAGAAACTGTATTCCTTATTCTTTTGATTTTTTTAAATTTTGGACCTGTAAAATATGTAGTGTAATTTTGGGAGGATTTCTTTGATAAAAATGAATATGCAACATCCAACACAAAACTAGATTTTTTAAAAATTTCCATTTATTACAATTTCTTGTAATAAGAATGTGAGCCTCAGTGACGTTATGACCCTATAATTTCCTTTAAATTCCTCACAAATTCTCCATAAATTCCTCCAAATACCCTATAAATTCCCCAAATTCTCATAAATTCCCATGAGTTCCTTCAAATACCCCACAAATTCCTCTAAATTCCTCTAAATTTCTCACAAATTCCTCTAAATTCCCCACATTTTTGGCAAAGAATTCCTAGGTGGTTTGCCCCTTGCAATTTACAAACTCAACAGACATCTTTGAGAATGAAAAACTACACAACAAATCCCACAGAAAAAATAGCAGATCCAAGAAATCACTTAGGATGAGAATCTACATAAAAGATCTAACAAATATCCTTCAGTATAAATCTCACAAAAATTCTCTTGTTGTTCTTATCAGCATGTTCAAATCCTATCTTGAATTTGGGGTTCTTTAAAAACTTTAGAATTAGTGTTGTTATTAGTTTTAGGAAGTAGCTTTGGAGTTTTTCCTACTCTTGCTCTCTGTCAGAGACTCTCAAGAATGCGAATCAACAAGCAAAAGATCCTCTTCTTTTTATCAGCCTCCTTTCATCTACTCCTGCATATAAATCTTCCATATTTATTCTGATGATACATTTGCTCAGAATTCATCAAATACTCCTCCTTGATTTCAGCTCAACGATTTAGAATTCGATATACCAGAGGTGGCTCAGCCCACCCTGGAAAAAGTCCTGTGGGACATGGAATCAGAAGAAGGCAGCGACACTGTCTCCCTGCATTCTTTCCAAAGCATGACGTCAAGATTCAGGTCCATGATGTCCCACTGTATACTGCAAGGTGTCTCCACGCAAATTTCCTCAGCCTCAGACCGGGTCAAAGCGGGCCTACCAACAGTCATAACTAATAGTCTTAAATATGTAGCCATAGGCACTTCACACGGTTATATTTTAACATTTGATTCTGAGCAAAATTTATGCTGGTGCTATCAGGATGCTGGTTTATTGGACCAAGGTGCCATATCCGCTTTGGCTTTCAATTTGGAAAGTACTAGGTTACTTGTAGGGTAAGCATTTGGATCAAATAAAGGAAATATTGTAGCATTAGTTGGTTCCAGTTATGAAAGAGGCTACATTACGATGTTGGATGCAAAAAACGGAAATTTGATTCGTAAAATGCCTGACGCCCATGCACCTCAAACAGCAGTTTTACATTTGAGGTTTACTTTTTTGAGTAATTTGGCCTTGTGCGGGGACTCGTCTGGATGTGTGTTTTCTATGGGTTTCAATAGGAGACTGGGAGTTAGAACTTGGGATTCAAAATGTTTGTTTTCTGGTGCTAGGGGCGAAGTTTGCGTGTTTGAACCGCTAGTGCAAGGCTACGATATTAATTTTTTAAGTAGACATGTTTTGGTAGCAATGGCTACACTTTCAAAAGTATATTTTTTTGATTATATAAAGGTTTTTTAATTATTGAAGTTTATTTTTAGATTATTGTAATTAGTGTTCGTCCTCGTTTAAAAGTTCACTTTAGTCAACAATTACCAAAAATATCAAAATCGTTGCCTTTGGTTTCTTGGCAGTTGGTTTCAATAGGTAAAACTTTTCAGCCGGTTTTGGCGTGGGCCAGAGGCAATTTTTTGCATTATGCAAGGTAACTATAACAATTTCAAAATACCAATTTATTCAGTAATTTTTTCCAGGCTTATAACAAATTTTAGTTCGAGTAGCAACAACAGAATCCGCTTAATGCCTATAAGAAACGTTCAGTTGCCTTATACTGTAACTGCACTGCATTGGTTAGGTACGTCACAACTTTCTTCAACCTGCACCTATTTTGTAATAATTATTCCAGGTACAAGACATTTAGCTTTACTAGACACAAACGAAAATCTACGCCTAATCGAAGTGAGAACCCAAAGAGAATTAGAACTTCTAGAACTCAGTTCTGCTGGCTTAGTTTACAGTTCGGCACATTTTAAAGCCCTAGCAGTTGGTGGAGGGGTGAGTGAGGCTTTTGCCTTAGCAGGAGAACGTGCTTGTTACAACAGTTTAAGTAGCCGTGGTACTCAGTTGCTGGTCTTAGGCACTAAAGCTGTACACATGGTGAAACTGCGCAGTTGGCCTGAGAGGATTTTGTATCTTAGCGATCAGGGCAGGTGGTGCGAGGCCTTGAATTTAGCCCTGGAAGAAGGTTTAAACAAAGAACGCTTTACTGTGGAACTTTTAGGCAAATATTTGGATAATTTAAATCAGAATAGGGTAGACAAGGATAGTCTTACAGCAGCAGTTAGTTGCTGTGTTAAACTTAATAAAACTGATATTTTGTGCAATGAGCTTTTGGAGGCCGTCACAACTGACCAACATAATTTAGAGTGGTATTACACTTTGCTTACAGATCATATTTGTAATGGGGGCCTAAAAGATTTGTCTCCTTCGGTTTCTCAAATGTTGGTGGCTTATTTGGCTGATAAAGATCCGCAACTTTTGGAAAGTGTATTGCTTTCTTTGGATATTGGTAAAAGTGATTTTATTATAGAAGCATTCTTTATTTCTGTTTTTAGTTTCTTTAGATTTGCATCAAGTTTTAAAAGTATGTAAAAGACTGAAATTGTACAATGCCTGGATACACGTTACAACGAAAACTTTAGGGGATTATGCCTCACCCTTAACTGAATTTGTTTCAGAACTGACTCCAGAGAATAACAGGTTAACAACAAATATTTTTATCAACAAAAATTTTAAACATTAATTTTAGATTAGGCAATACACTATTAGTATATGTTTCCTCCTGCCTAGCCGGTCTAGGCTATCCTACAGGAAATATTCCAGAAAAAGACATATCGCGAGTCAAATATGACGTGCTAAGGTGCCTGGAAACTGTTCATTCAATAAAAAGAAAACCAGACGAAGGCAATTATCCATATTTAAGAGCTTTGTTGAAATATAACACAAGAGAATGCTTAAATGTTGTAGAATTAGCATTTACAGAACCTGAATTCGCTGGCGAAATGGGTCTATTACAGAGACAAAGACTGATACATATTTTAATGCAAACTGTTACCCCTCCTGAATTCACTGTAAGAATTTCTTAAAGTATTTTCAATAATTTTTACAAAACATTCTTACAGCATAGTCAAATAATCAACTTGGCCTGTTTTATATCAAGATTAGTAATAAACAACAGCCTTAAAATTGATGAAGCCATGCTAAATTCAGTAGTAAAGTCCCTAACTAACACTAGTGACTCTCTGAGTGTGCGAGATCATTCTGAAAAAGAACAAGCCTGGTTGGAATTATTACAAGCAAATAAGTTGCAACATTTTGATGCATCAGACTTACTGCAAATGGCTCTAGCATCTCGGTGCTATAAAGTAGCTGAAAACTTGTACGAATCCCAAAAAAACTACTCAAACATTTTGGAGTGTTACATAAATGACGATAATAGAAGAGCTGAGGTTTTTGATTATATTTTAAGTTACATTGAAGTGCCCGAGAGGCAAATACAAAAACAATTTTTAAGGCAGTTTGTTGTTTTGGTGGATATAAATTGCGAAAAAACCACCGAAATTGTGATGGAATATTTTTCTAAGTACATTGAATCTTTGACTGAAGTATTGAGGCCAGATTTGCAATATAAATTTTTAAGTGAGCTTGTTTCTAGTGATTTTAAATTGCCTAGTAGTTTGGCGGGATTGTTTTTGGAACAATTGTGTATCAGAAATCCTAGTAGGGTGTGCGATTTTGTGTTGATTTGCGGTTGTAGAAATGAGGAGGCTTTGGAGATTACCAGGAAATATAAGGTAAATACACAAAAGGAGGCTTTTTATTGGCTAATAATTTTTGGTCTAGATTCATCAAGCTACCGCGTTACTGCTAGAACAATCCGGCGCATGGACAGAAGCCTTGGAAATTCTAATATCAAGTGATCTTATAGATGAAGCTGTGGCATTGTGTATTCGTGGTGCTGAGCATCTAGACTCAGAAGGAGCTCAGCATTTGTGGCTGACTTTATTAAAAAGCAAGGCAAGTTATTGCAAGTTTTTTTTACAAGTTTTTTATTGAAACTATTAACAGAGAAGCGTAAAAAATACTTCATTGAGGCAATTGTTGCATGCAGCAGCTCCTCACGTGTCTCCAGATCAATTATTAGATTTAGTTTCCAATGTCAACTATGGAGAAGTCAAAAGTTTGCTTCAAGGAATGATCAGTGATTATAAAAACGATATAGAAGTACTCAAATCCACTATGGCTGTATTGGATAAGGATCTTCATCATAGTAAGTACCAAATGGGGCTTAATTCAAAAATAATTCTATTAATAATTTTTAGAATTGGCAAAATCTTTACACCAAAGCGGCAAAGGTGTCTCAATAACCAAACTAACTTGTAACTTGTGCCAAAAATCTTTGTCCTACAAAAAAGAATTAGATGCTAACATTTGTATTTGGGGGTGTGGGCATTTGTTTCACTCTCAATGTTTTAGTGCTAGTGATTCAGCAGATTTTTGCCCTGTTTGTAGAAGAACAGGAAAACTTTTGCCAAAAGTTAAAAAGGAAATTGAAAAAATTCATTATAATGGTAGAAATAATATGTTGAGGCCCGATTTGGAAGGGCACTTTTAATTCCTAGTCAAACAAAAACACTGCTATTTTTTTTTTAGAAATTTTTTCTAGTCTTTTTGCTTTATATTATTATCATTATTAGGTTTGTTCTTACGCGTCAAAAAACTTTCCCGGTATACGAATTTCGGTTTCTACGCAAAAAATTTGGAACAAATCTAAAATTGTGCAGTCTATATTTTGGCATTGGGTGCCTGAAATTAATTATTGTGATATATATTTATATTTTTATTATTTGTACAAAAACAAAACTTATATAAACGTTAAATAATAAGAAAACTATAATTTATTTAAATAAAGTAATTGTCAAGACAAAACAAATTTTAATTTCAAATATTTATGGGACAAAATAATAATACAAAAATAAATATACTATACATAAAACTATACAAGATTTACAAAGACACCAATACACTTAAGGTTTTGTAAATTTAAATATTACAAGGGATTTACAATAATTTCACTATTTAAATTAATTTAAACATTGGGATTCTACTTAACTCACATAGAGGTTGTATTATTCCTATAAATATTATGAAATCTAGTTTTACATTATGTGAAAATTCCTTTTAAAAAATTTCAAAATTTAAACATCAGAAAAATTAGATAGAGTCGATTTTACCCTATAAGAAAACAAATAATAAAATTCCTAATTAATTTGAAAAAAATAGAAAATACTCACCTATTAAAAAGTATCGTGTCAGAGGTGCTTAAAAGTTGCTGTAAAACAGCAATAACCCCAAATTCCCTTAATTTCGTTTGCCTTTCCATTGCCCCCGGTTCACCCTGCCTGGAAAGATTCCCTATACAAAACACTGCCGATTCCTGTAAACAAGGAGCAGGATGAGTCATGTATGCCACCAGTTTCTTTAAAATATCCTCATTGATCATTATATGGTCTTTGGCCCTTTCTCCGTCAGCTATATTTGATAGAATTAAAAGGGCTTGTTCTTTGACCTAAAAAATGTTTCATTAAAGAGCAGTTTAAGGGGTGATGAAAATTTACCTCAGGAGAATGGGGCCCTTCTAGTACAAGAACTACCCCTTGCATTACTTGGGTACCATGCAGGGCCATCATTGTGTCTGTATGGTTGCGAGGTGAAACTAAATTGCGTAGCAAGCCTAAAGTTTTCATTAGAACCCTTGGATCAGAGTCTGCTAGCAACCTGAAAATAATTTTTAACCAAAATCAATTGGGGTTTTATTCAAAATGTAGTGAAAATTTCAGCTTTCTATCTATAATAGAAAAAAAGTTATGACCTTCCAAAGACGACCAGTAGGCAACAGTCCAGTAGTACACGGTACTCAAATATGAATGATATATAAGGAATTTAATTTAGTGGTACTTTTGTTATCAATTTAAGTGGGTACTGTCTAGTCATTGTCTAGTTTACGAAGAGAATCTGACAAAAGTGTAGGTGTCTGACAATGTCTGTCAATTGTCCCCTTAACCGGCAACAATGTACTTGTCAAAATGTCAAATGTCACTTTAACCTTAAAAAAAGGTAGAGGAGTTATTTTTTAAAGTTAGGCGGCCGTTGGAAATAGTTGTCATAACGTTCATTTTTTATTTTTATTTCATTTTTTCTTTTACCTTTTTGCACCTTGCAATGTTATCCATAGTAATATATAAATAAATTATTATCAACCTCAATCGTCTTTGAATCAGTATTGTTTGCCCAGCGGATCTGAGTCTACGGAAGGAATTCGGACGTAAATGTGCCATGTTGTCACGTTTAATTATAAAAAAGCGAAAATACTAGGCATGTAGTAAAGTTCATTTGAAAATCCATTTTTTAATAAAATATATCAAATCAAAATATGCTTTATTGTCATAAAAAAATTTAAATTCTTGTTGACAAAGCCAATAAAATAAATAAAATATAAAACAATATGGTCATTGGAATTACACATATATATAAGGAACATAAACTTAAACTAACATAATGCCTAACATGCCGTCAAACGAATCGACAAGTTAAAAATAGCAAAAAAAAAAAAAAAAAACAAATATAAAAACAAAATTTGAATTAGTAGCACATACACAAGTCAAGCACATACACAAATTAAACTTAAGATTAAGACTAAAACCTAGGTAGACTTTTTGATGAAAAGCTCTGCTGAAATGAACGTTAAAACTGGTCATCCAGATACTCTGATACACTATAATAGCACCGCTCCAATAGTAATGCCTTCACTGTAGATCTGAACTTCCTTTGAAATTGAATATGCCTGATCTCGAGAGGCAGTTTATTAAACAATTGTCTAGAAGCAAATATTAAAGAATTTTTTATTTGTGAAGAGACAGGTATCGGCAGCTCTACACTGAACGTTCTCCGTGTGTTGTAGGTGTGTTGACTTGTCAAAATATTGTCCCTATACTTCCTATGTATGAGGCACACAGACTCCAGCACAAATAACGCTGATAGCGTTAACAATCTGTGCCTCACAAACAGTTCCCTACAAGAACTACAGCGCGATACCTTGCACATAAATCTGACTGCCCTTTTCTGCAGTAGAAAGACACTATTGAATAAACCCCTCGTACATGAACCCCAAAAACAAATTCCGTATCGCAAGTGAGATTCTATCAGTGCAAAGTAAACATTCCTCACAATGTGTAAATCTAGCTCATTTGAAAGCATCCTGATAGCATAAGAATTTCTTGACAATACGGAGTTCAGATTCCTAATATGTGCATCAAAATTCAATTTACCGTCTATATATATATTCCCAAAAATCTATTTTTGTTCAAGTTAGCTAACATATTATTGCCTAAACCTACATTCCCTATCTCACATCTGAAACTCATGATGTTAGTTTTTGATAAATTCAGTGTTAAATTATTCGCAGCAAAAATATATTTATTTATTTATTTATTTATTTACGGGCAAGACCCATTAAAAAAAAAAAAAACAACAAGAAACATTAAGTACCTTACAACTAAATAAACATAGGCCAGTAATACTTGGCGTAGTGACAGGATAAAAATACATATAAATTATTAACAGTAAAACATTAAATCAGTTATAGGTATAAGAAAATAGAGGACAAACATAAATAATGACTGATCAAGATGACTAGAAATTCTTAGCTATCGAACTTGGCATCACAAACAAACAAGGAGAATTACATTAGAGAGTTAAGCTCTCTTTTAAAGCTATTTATGGGTCCAAAAAAATCCAGGCTACCATGGGTGTTACCTAATCGAGAAGTTCTGGAGATGAATGTATTGAAACCATAGTTTGTACGGTGATTTCTTTCTGAGAAGGTTATGGCAGAGCGGGTGTCCCTTGCTGGGACGTGAAGCCCTATTCTGGACAGTAGGTATGCGGAATCACTAATGGAGTTCAGTACCTTGTAAAAGTATATAAATCTCTTTGATTGCGTCTAGCTGCCAAGGGTTGTAGATTGAAGCGTCTGTATAGGTCGTCATAGTCATACACATAGTTCTCAGGCGAAGGAATACCTGCCTTGAAGGCTAAATAACGTACGAATTTGCGCTGCACTAGCTCTAGGGCTCTGATATGATTAGAATACATTGGTGACCAGACAGAGGAGCAGTACTCCATCAGGGGCCTCACCATTGAGCAATAAAGGTATCTGATAGAATCTATGCTTGTAAAATCTCTCGAACACCTCTTAATGAAGCCTACAAGTTTTAACGACCTTGTTGTGATGTCTGAAATATGGGTGATAAAATTGAGACTGCTGTCAAAAATGACACCAAGATCTCGTTGTTGTGAGACAGTTTCAAGCGGAATGTTGTTTATATGGTACGCGAATTGTGGAGGGCTACGACCCTTGGAGAAAACAATGGCTTTGCATTTGGAAGCATTGAGCTCCATGCCGCTCAAAGCGCACCACTCAGAGAGTCTGTCGAGGTCAGATTGTAGTCTGGCACAGTCTTCAATAGAAGAGACCCGGGTGAACACCTTTAAATCATCCGCAAAGCACAGGAACTCACTGTTAATAAAACAAGACTTGATATCGTTAATAAAAACGTTGAACAGCAGAGGTCCCAAGTGAGAACCCTGTGGAACGCCCGATGGGATGTCAATTTCGTGTGAGAAGAAGTTGTTAACTTTGATTATTTGAGTTCTCTCCCCAAGATAGTCGCTAATCCACTTCAACAAAGTACCGGAGATTCCAGCACTTTCAAGCTTAGCAAGCAGAACGGCATGGTTGACACGGTCAAAGGCTTTGCAAAATCGGTATATATGGAGTGAACTGATTCGCCATCCTCAAGAATTCTTGAAACTTTGTCCTGGTAGGACAGGAGATTGGTTTCAGTTGAGCATTTTGGACGAAACGGTCTGCTGCTCAATTAGACAGGGATTGATTTTTGGAGTTAAAAACTTTGTCACTATGCTCTCAAATACCTTTGGGAAGGTGTTTTGGATGATAATGGGTCTGTATTTTTGAAATATCCATTTTATCGCCAGATTTATGAATGGGTATGGTGAAGCTCTGCTTCCAGAGTTTAGGAAATTCACCCAAACTGAGTGACTTGTTGAAAAGAATGAAAAGTGGACGGGATAATACAAAGCTACAATTCTTTATCATAAGAGGTGGGACACCGTCTGGACCTGGACCCTTAAAAGACTGCAGGCTACATAGTTCTTCATAAATAACTGATATTGAGATGTTAAATTCATGAATATGTGCATCGCTCCGAGAGATGTCCTGACTAGCAACACAGATTTTGTTGGAATAAACAGAATGGAAGTATTCAGCAAAGAGATTAGCTATCTCTGAACCATTTTTGGCAATGTTGCTATTATAAAACATGTGAGACGGCAAACCATTCGCTTTTCGCTTGGCATTGATAAAACTCCAGAAGTGTTTGAGGTTGTGATCATTCAGCAGTGACATTTCAGAGCGCTGCACATAATTCAGATAGGAGTCCTTTGAAAGAGTCTTACACCGAGTGCGAAGATTCGAGAAGTTGTCATAGTCACTAGGAGAGTCAGTCCGCTTCCAGGTTCTGTGTGCTTCTTTCTTCTTGATTATGAGTTCCTTTAGGTCGAAGGGGAACCATTTAGGAAATTTATGGGTGGAAAGCTTTTTCTTTGGTACAAAGCAGTCAATAGCAGTGTAAAGAATGTCATAAAAAATACTGACCATTTCTGCTACAGTTGGGCCTTGGAGTAAAGCATCCCAGTTGATCATACTTAGATGATCATTGAGAAGTGCATACTCGGCAGATTTAAAATCATAGTAGTACTCATCAGGTTGCGGGTAGTCTGAGTTACACTGCTGGGTCTCGGCACATAATATGTTTAATATTAATGCAGGGTGATATGAATCAATAGGGAGAAGGATGTCATCTGCCAAGGTGCAGGTGTCATCAGGATCCTGACTAAACATCAGGTCTAACAGAGAGCCATGCGCATTGTGGAACTTGTTTATTTGAAACATGTTATGGTAAGCACTCATGTTGGATAGGTACTCAGTAGCTGCGCGCTCTGAGGGAATAGCGGAGGGGGTTGCAGTAGCACTTGAGCTCAGGCCGTCATCAACCCATTGTGCTTTGGGTAAGTTAAAATCCCCAAATATGCAGAGCTTGTAATCAGGAAATGTTTCAGATAAAGTATCTACTGAGTCTGAAAAACACTTATAATTATCTCCATTAGATTTCGGAGGTAGGTATACAGCTCCAAGCAATAGTTTACTATTAGCAGACTGCACTCTTACAAATAACTGCTCAATGGTTGAGGCTGATTCACAAATGGAACTGAGAATGTTATTCCGGACAGCTATTAATACACCTCCCCCCCTTAAGGATGTGCTTGTTGCTGGAGTTCGGTCACTTCTGTAAATATTGTAATTGTCCATGCCCAGTTCTACATCAAGAAAGTTATCACTCAACCACGTTTCTGTAAAAACGAGTACTTGGTATGCAACTAAAGGAATGGAACTGATTAGTTTTACCAATTTAGTACGCAAACCACGCACGTTCTGATAGTAGACTGATACAGAACTATTTAGTTTGCAAATACCTCCTGATTGACGGCTAGATTCTGAAAATTCTGGGACGAATGAAAATCAGCACCAGGGTCATTTTTTGATGTGTCAAGTTTTTTCTTGAAGTTGAATCTACGAAAGATCACACCACTAGGCCAGAATTCGCAGGAGTTCATAGCATTGTAGTGAATGGGAATGA